GATGGAGGACAACAGAGCTGCTTCATGGAAGAAGAACCTCAGCTTACCCTGTTAGCCTTCGCACTTGCCCTCACGCTATATTGCCTTATATGTATTAGCTCGGAGCTAGCTCGACAAACAAGCTAAACTGAGGTCCTCCATCCATATTTTCAGTTGCAGCCTGAGTCATTTTTGCGTTTTCCTCTCTGTCATGTGGATGGAGGACCTCAGTGATGAGAGGAGAATGTGTAGTGCTGAGCTAATACATATACAGTATATGGTGATAGTATCGAGGCTCACGCTAAAGCTAGCAGCTGAGGTTCTTCTTCCTCGCCCTTGTCTGTAATTGGTTTCAGATGGGACTTAATATGGCCAACCCTCCACGGGCACACAAACTGAGTGAGTAGAGCGAGCGTGTAGCCACTGATTGGGAAAGGCCCTATGTCATCAGGGTCTGCAGAAGCCTACTAATTAGGCACTCCTTAGGTTCAGCTGTGTTAAACCAGGGCAGCACCTAAAATATGCAGGACACACTTTGGACACCACTGAGCTAAAGTTTGATGATGATGCAGCAGATTGAGGATTTGAGCCTGTACCTCTGGTATAGGTGACAGGTGGTGTGAGTTGTGTCAGTGAATACTGTGGATTTTTTTTTTTCACAGGACTTCCTGTTGTACCAGAAAACTACAAGAAACTCGTACCTGGAGTCCAAGGAGGGTCCCGGTCGCCCTCCGTCCAACATGGACCGCTTTGAGAGATGTTTGTCCATCTTTAAGCTGCACAGCGTGGAGAACCAAGCAGCTGTGCAGGATGTGACGAAGCGTGTGGAAGGAGAACAGAGGTCAGATGAGCAGACCAGACCGTGGAGGGCTGTGAGAGTGGACCTGGTGGTCTCTCCCTTCAGCCAGTTTGCTTTTGCTTTGCTGGGCTGGACCGGATCCAAGGTGAGTCTCTGCTGGGACGGATCGGGCTCTTCTTTCCTGATTCTGCTGTCTGCTGATGAGATGCTGTCTGCAGCTGTTTGAGAGGGAGCTGCGCCGGTGGGCAGGGTACGAGAAGGCCATGTGTCTGAGCAGCCACGCCCTGTATGACAACAAGCAGGTAAACAGGAAACCACTGCCTACCTGCATGTGGAACAGCTTTCATTATTCAGCTGAAGTCATCTGAGCATTAGAAGTTTTATCACCAAACACCAAAAGTCTGTATGGGAGTCTTTATCATTCCTGTCAGCAAAATTTGTTTGAGGTTGAGAGTTTAATTCCATAGTGACTTAAAGGAAAAAAAAGTTTTGTAGACATTTGGAGGACTGGTCCTCAAACACATTTACACCAAGTCCAGCATTAAAGCCAGAGTTGTAAAGTAACTAAGTACAAGTACTTCTTTACTGTACTTAAGTAGAATTTTTGGGTAGCTGTACTTTACTTGAGTAATTATATTTCAGCCTACTTTTTACTTCTACTTCTTACGTTTAAAAAAAGGGCAAGAAGTAGAAAGTCGTTACTTTTATTTCATTTTTGCTTGTTTTCATTCCAGCTTGTTGTAAAAAATAAATACTGTCCATGCTGGCTTAATCATTAAATATAAAAGGAAAGTATTTTTAAAACTAGAGGAGGTATTTTTATTTCATGAATTATATTATTGCATTTGGCTGCAGCCCTCAGATTTTCATTTTGGGGAAAATGTTTGTGCAGTTTTGATATATGTATTTAAACTGAAACAAACTAGTCATCCTAAATTTAACATAAATTAAACATTATTTAAAACGACATGGTAATTTCTGCATTTTTTTTGTGGAGGTCACCTCCTAATAAATGTCATTATAGAAAATCTAAATGCTCATTTTAAATCAATACTTTTACTTTTAAAACTTAAGTACAACAAATATCAGATACTTTAAGACTTTTACTCAAGTAATATTCCTAAAGGAGACTTTAACTTTTACCAAAGTAAGTTTTTGGTAACATACTTGTACTTTTACTCAAGTAATATTCCTAAAGGAGACTTTAACTTTTACCAAAGTAATTTTTGGGTAAGATACTTGTACTTTTACTCAAGTATCACTTTGTGGTACTTTATNAATATTCCTAAAGGAGACTTTAACTTTTACCAAAGTAATTTTTGGGTAAGATACTTGTACTTTTACTCAAGTATCACTTTGTGGTACTTTATACAGGATGATCTAAGCTCATTTTGATTGTGATCTCTTAATGTTCGAATGTTGAAGTTTGGTAAATAAAAATGTGACTTTTTGTTTCCCTTACAGCGAAAATATCTCAGAGCTTCTTCAGAGGAGGATATCTTTGCTCACCTTGGTCTGGAGTACATCCCTCCGTCAGAGAGAAACGCCTGACGAGTTCCTGCAGGTCCAAACCAGAACCATCTGATGTCATGTACGCATTACATCTGTGGAGATCTGACGCAGTTCATATTAAAAAGCTGCAGGGATTTTAAAGTCTCTACAGTCTGAGTCAGGGGCTATCCTGCATGTTTTACTTGTTCTCCAAAACACCTGAAACAATGACTAAATTAGCTCTTCAAGTTCTGCAGTAGCTGTTAGTCACCCATTCATTCAGATCAGGTGTGCTGGGACTGGCAGCATAGGGGCCCTGGAGGACCAGGACTGGACTCTTCTGGTCTAAGCTGTGTGTATTGAACAGGAGACAGTCCACAGACCCACAGAAATGTGGGGCCAGTCGCCTTTAGATTGTAATCTGGAGTCTTAGGAGTAACTGGCTTGTCAGCAGGTAAGGGTTGGAATAATCAGACCAGTAACATCCCACAACAGACTGAAGCAACGCCCTCATTACTGAGGCTGAAGCCTGGATTAGTTTGTCCTTCTCCAGCTCTGTGACATCTTCACTCATGAACAGAACTTGGGGATCTGAGCTCCTCTGCTTGAGACGGACTCAGAGGAAGCATTTCACCTTTTTTTATTTTTCCAGTTGAGAAGCTGACTCAGTGCACGCTGAAGATTGTGGTTAATGGTCCACCATGCTGCTTTATTTACTGCAGTCAAGCCATCCCCTAATTCAGAAACCTGCTTCTGTTCAGATCAGAGATAATGTCAACCTTTACACCTGTGGTACAGCTGCACCTCTGTCCACTCTGATCCTACCAGGACTTTCTAAGCATATTTTAAAGAAAATCTCAAACCTGTTTTAGGTTTTGTTTTAACTCTGCTCCCTTTTAAATTTCAACATTTTATGCAACTGATGTACATGAGCCTGCATGTCTCAGTGGGATTACCTGTCTAAATAAAAGTATATGATTTTTTTAAATTTTTTATTTTTTTATTGTTGCACCTGCCCAGATATTAAGAATTCTCTCCTGGATTTTATTGGACAAATAAAAAGACAAACGTGGCCATATTTGAGTGACTTTTATTCCATACTACTCACTTTCAGGGTGTCGCTCACCAAGTTTCAGGCGTTTCAAAAATAATTACAAAATTAAAAAATAAACACAAAATCATGACATCAGGCAAATAAAAGTAGAAACACTTCTTAGAATCAGATTCTTTTAGTGATATTCTAACAACAACAACATATCCAGTGAATTTGTTGTCTATAAAGATTTAGATTTTGTTGGAGCATATTCAGACACACATTGAACAGGTCCAGCTGTCGCTGTCCATCGACACGCACTGATTATGGAACCAATGTTCACATTGGATCTGTGGAGGGAAATGATGAAAATAGTTAGTTTTATTTCGTTGTGACTTTTTTTCTTTTTAATTCAGTTTTAATTAGTTTTTACAGTGAGTTTGCTAGTTTTTATGTTACTGCATTTTTAATGCTTAGTTTTAGTTTAGTTTTTATTAGTTCTAGCATTAGTTTTATTAGTTCTTTGGTCACTAGTTAAAGCAGTCCATTATAGCGACACCTTACTAAAATAATTGCATAACTCAATTTTGCCAACTAAGGACTTGGGCGATTATTTTAGGACGATGACAAACAACCTGGTGCTAACTGTTGCTTGTTTTTCACAGGAGCTACTGAGAGAAGCTAGCAGGTCAAGATAGTCATAGTTAGACATCTTGTGTGAGTTTGATTCATGCAGTTTTTCCCTTGAGAAGTATTCCACCTGTTTTATCACCTGTTTCCACTACAAGACACTTGTTTTGATTTTTCTCCCATCATATTCAAAAAAATCCCAAAGTGGACATTGCAGTTTTCTCCCAACTTTGTTGTCGTCATTTAGCAGGTGATGCTGAGCAGCAGCAGACTGTAAACAAGTATTGTTACAGACCACAGCTAAGGTGAAACTACTTAATTTAAAAATAAAGAAATGAATAAAGATCCACATGTCTCAAAATAAATTGACAAACATTAAAACTTAAGGATATTCCATCCATAATTTTAGTTAGTCGTATTTATTCGTGTATAATACGTAAAATTTAATCTGTAAAATCATTACGTTGGGGGGTAGTATTTTACTCAGATAAATGTTTTTACTTATGTATTTTAACTGAAATATCGGCAAAATTATTGAATCCGGAAAAGCAGTTGAAACGAGTTCACCTCTGACACTCCTCCATGCTTCAGAGTGAGATAATAACAGATCCAAGCAGGCGACATGATGTGGGAAAAATGGTGGGGGGAGGCAGTCCTGCAGTAATGATAATAAACTAATGACATCAGCGTGTGACCGAACCGCTGCTGGAACAACAAACAGGCATGCCCGTCTATAATGACTGCCGTCTACCGGTGTTCTGAAAAAGTTTATATCCCTGAAAAAAGTTTCCACACCAGAGGGGGCGCTCGCGAGTAGGAAGTAATCTGCTTTTCCCCCAGAAGATGGCCCAAATCTTATGTGAAGTCTCTGACTTTTGTGTTGGCGCATCCTGGTGGACTATGTGCAAAATGCCAGAATTCATATGATGCTGCTACAGCTGATAAATACTGTATTTGTTGTCAAAATAACTTTTAGTACATATGTTGTTAAAATAAAATGAACAGTCCAATGATCATTTTACTGATATTATAAAGACTGCAAAGGCTGAAAAATCTTGAAGTCTGTATGAAATTGGAGGTAGTTTGAGGATTAAATTTTTATGCTTTTTAAGCTCAAAAAAGGGTCGTATTATACATAAGATCATATTATTCACGAATAAATATGGTAGTTTTGTAAAAAGATTATACCGTTTTAGTTGGTTATCTTTTTTTCATTTTATTACGGTTTTTATTTATTTCAGTTAACTAAAACGTTTTTTTCAATTTCAGCTTTCGTTATTTAGTTAGTTTTAGTTAACTATAACAACCCTGGTTTAAACAGTACTACACGGCACAGCTGGTGTGCAGGACTACAAGAGTTGGACTGCATTTATCCAGACTCACCCAGGTGGTTCCACTGGATCCAGGTTTGGGGAGTTCAGTCAGAACACATGGCACAGCTGGAATCATGAGTCTGAACTGTCAGAGTCTGAACTGTCAGAGTCTGAAATGTCCTTAGAGACTGTTAATGGAGACAACAATACTTGATTAGTACAAGTACTGTTATATCCTAACATTCAGTAAACAAAATAACACTTCCTGAAACAATCTATCATCTATATTCATGTAAGTATTTTGAGCATAAATCTGTTTTGGGTTGAATGTTCAACAGCTGTCACCAACCTGGTAAGTTTCGTGTAATGAAAGGTGGTCTATACACCCCTCTCCACGCGTTCTGTCTTTGTCACGGCTGATCGATGAGGGTAAACTTTGGTCAGCAGCTGCCTCCTCGTACTCCCTCAGTGAGGCGGTGTCACAGCTCTCATATCGAGCGATCAAATCATCCAACCGAGTCAGGAAACCAATGTGCTTCTCGTCCCACTGACTGACCACGGCTGCGCTGCTCTCCGTAATGTTCTATAAAAGTTTACAGGATAAGTTACAACCACAGAAACACCTGCACATTCAGATATCAGTAGTGTCAGAAGTGAGAAAAATAAATAATAATTAAATAAATAAATAAATGACTTGTCTCGGCAGGGTTCTGAGATAAGCATATTCCTTGGATGCTTCCTCGTACACTTCTCCAGTCCCGTGTCGTCCGAGGTCACCTGTGGACACGCTGAAAGTTGTGGAGAAGTGTCAGTGAAAAAGAAACGCTTATAACTTTTATTTAACTTTGTATAAAAAGCACAACCCTAACCTAACATTATCCGTGTCCACAGTCCAGCGAAAGGCAGATGGTGTTTGGTCATGTGATCCATCAGGCCTTTGCAGTACTACTGTTTCTTTTTTCCATGAAGCTGAAGAGGGGCTTTTCTGACCATGCTTCTGTGTCATAGTCCAAACTTGGTCTTCCACGATGGTTTCTAATTGATGTGAAAAAAAAAAAAAAACCAACACAACAAAGATTCGATATAACCTTCAGAAGAGATGAACAGCTTCATAAAGGCTATTTGTACTAAATGCAATAGTATGTATTGTATACTAACTAAACACTGGGTTCATTCGAGAATCAAAGTGAGAAGTTCACACATTTTAAACACATCTAAGTATTCCATCAGGATGTTGGCCTTTCTGTCGTCATATTGGGGGAGTCCGTTCCTCAGCATCAAAGACTGCAGTTTGTTGAAATGCTTCTCCACATTCGGACCGGTGCAGGGGCTCGAAAACACAGCTGCAGCACTTTGCACCATCTCATCGAGTTGGTTAAGGGAGCTCGCCGTGGTCAGAAGTGCACAGACGTGCATGGCCAGATGGTAGTGGCCTGGTGCACTGTGAAGAAGTTCACACAGAGAAACCATGTGTGAACCAGTGATTAATGCTCACAGTATTTCTAAGATTTGATCAAGACTTTAAAAGGGATCCATGATTAGTTGTATCATTAAACTGTATTTGATAAACATTTATTTTAACTGCAAAATAACGACTGTAAAAATACTGTAGGCTGTTTAGTTTTGTAAATTTTTAAAAATATATTTTAACACAGACGGAGCCATTTTATTTACACGCAAAGCATTCTGGGTAAATGATGACATCAACTAGGTCATCGGCAAGTACACTTCGCTGCAGCATGCAGAACGGGGCGGTGACAGACCTTTCCGTCAGTCCCATAC